ACTGTCCCACTAAACCGCGAATCTGTATGGCTAAATTAGCTATACAGACCCTCAGCCCAATAAAACAGCTGACCAAACCCACGATACGTCATCCAACAATACCCCGGATAGCCATTTCGGCAAAATTTCTCTCTCCGTTTACGCCCCTGTTCGTGATGTATTTCGATTGCGACGTTAAATATGTCCGATGCTGATATTGTTTCCAAACCCAGCCAGAAGCCGTTTTGTCCGTGGTCCTTTAGGTACGCCTCTGTTTTACGTTCCCAGTCGTTATTATGCGCGTAGCGGTGGGGTTGGTCAAGGATCGCATCCTGTAAGTATGGGCTGTATGTCTCAATGTGTGTTCGTAAGTGGTTATTTAGTCATTGTCTTAATGCGTATGTACTTGTTGACCCAGTCAGGCTATTATCTAGTTGATGAGCTAAGCTGGCTACTAAGCAATTTCCGTCGGATGGAATTTTAATTATTCCCACCGAATGATCGATCGTGTTTACCATTTCAATGTTTGTTATGGTTTGTGTTTATTTATTATTTATGGTTTAGCGTTTATTTATGGTATTAGTCGAGTGTTTATTTGGGGGGTGGAGCTAATGTCTTATCTGCCTTTTCTGTTTTGTTTATGTAATGATTTGAGTGTTGTCTGTCTCAATAGGAATGTTTATTTGCTGGGGCTTGAAATTTACTTTTCGGTATATAATACGTTTTACTTTAGATTTTTTGGAATAAAATGGTTTTTTTTTAATAAGACATGCAGTTAGAAAAATTACTTAGCTTGATTATTAGGCTATAATCCTGATGCTAGGTCTTTCACGGTCTGTCTGTTATTTCTGGACCTCCCTGCAGGTTATTGACAGGCTTTGGTTGTGACTATCCCTGCTGACCAGTTGGACCGGTTGGCCTTTATTACTTATTCAGTTGCACTCTTTTACGGCTTTAACAGGGGATTTCCCACACTTTTCACACTTGCACTTTTTTTTGCACTTATCACACTTTCCGCACTTGATTGCTTATTTAACAATATGCAATAAAATAAAATTTAATTATATATTTTTTCAAATGTTACCCCCTTAAATCTAATGTCAGAACAATAACCTGAACTCACCTACACTTATCACGTACTCATCAAATAACTAAAATGAGTATGAGTGAGTATGAGTATAAGAACGTATGGCAGGCCCCATCGGCAACGCCTTACACTGATCTTATATACAAAGTTCATATATATATTCAAAAGTTCTCTTTTAGTTCCACCCTTAATTCCTAAGAAGTCCCAGAAGCCAAATGAAAGGCTTGAGCGGGTTAGGGGTAGGAACGGACCGCGAGCTTAAAGTCCCCTCCGAAGGACTAATACACAATAGGACAAACAAAAATTACCAGCCATATGGCTTTATATACCACTGGTGGGATTTGAACCCACGACCTTTCGGCTTGTAGTCAGCAGCACTAACCACTAGTCCACCGTCGGCAGTTCCAGGGTTATTTTACCCCCTTTCGGTTCTCATACGTATCCTGCGTTACCTGTGTTTGGTGGGGGAGGTGTGTTTGGACCACCGTGGCAGGTAAATCTTCCCTAGGAGATCTTGGATGACAGTGTCGATGGTTAAGGCCACTTGGAATTTTGTCGTCGGGTCGGACCATCTGCCAGATTTAGGCTAGTGGAGAGTAGGACCCAAAACTAATTCAATCCGGACTCCCCCTCAATACTACCCTCATACTTCCTGTTCGTCTGTGTCCTTCTCTCTCTCCGGGCCATATTCCCAGCTTGAGATTATCCATAATGTTGCACCCATATAAACAATATTATTCTTAGAAATATCTTTTCTATGTTTGCACCTCACTGTGAGGTTGCGATTGTTTATTTTTGCTTGGGACGTTTGAGGAATCAGACAATTTATGTTCCCCTTAATGTCTTAGATGTCTACAGATGTTTATTTTTTTAGGATGAGTTTCGATTCCTTAGTGTTTATCAGAACTTGAGTGATTAATGGCTTCTTATGTGAGCCCTTGTGTTTATAGTTTTTTGACTGGTTGATTTTTATTTGAACTGTTTGCGACCAATTATTTTTCTTGGATTATTTGTTAGATAAAGATTGCGGATTTTGTATTAAAATTTAGTATTATTTTTTGGGAATTATATGGCATGCAATTTTGGCAATTTTTACTTATCTTATTTATGTAGACTTATACTTGGGTGAATTGCCTGGTAGATGTGATGTAATTGTTCCTTAACCCCCGACCGCCCACTTAAGCACGTGTGGTAGTCCAGGAGATTATTCGTTGAAACTGTTCGTCTCACTCACACCTTTTATCCAGGTAAAACACTTGAGGACTTAATCCAGGAGGAGGTACCACATGCAATTTGGACTGTTTTTGCACTTGGATCTGGTATATCACGTGTAGAATCGATTATAATTTTTGTTTTATGAACAACTTTATAATTCATTTATTATTTTATTTAACTAATCTTGCATTTGGGATAACGATTTACATTTTTTCTCAAAAACCATAAAATAATTAAATATAATGCTTGTAAAACTACATAGTCCAAAAAAGAGAATAACACATTCCACACCAAAGTAATCTTGCAGATAAGGAAACGCCGTCGTTATGGTAAAAGTACCAAAAAAACTAATGGTTGTAAACTTCTCATCAGTGTCGGGCAACTTGGTGTAGTGGAACACTCCACCAAGTTGCCCGACACTGATGAGACCCAATATAGGTCGAAACAGCTGTCTGTCAGTATTTGAAGTTGGTGGAACGCACTCAAAACAAAAAACTTTGGCGAGGTGTAGGTTCAATTTTTTTCTTAACATAATTGTTAAAAGCTTTAGCCTAAGTACAAATGCAAAGAGTTAACATAAATAATACCGAGATGAAACACTGAGTTCCATAAACAATAAAATATTAAGTTAAGAACAAAGTTATACAAAAGGAAATAACAAAACAAAGTCATTTATTCAAAGGTCATAAATTTACGATAAATGTAGCTCGATTTATGTGATGAACGCGACAACATAAAGCTTGAGATTGGAACTCAGAGTATGCCCGTCCCCAAGATATTAAACCCAAACAATAAAATAGTAATACAATACAAATTATTACCAAATATCACTTAAAATACAGATATTAAAATGATTAAGACCCAATAAAATAATCTGAAATATAAGCAAAAATAACAGGTAGTTGTTTGTCACCACTAGCAAAAATTACAATTCATAATAGTGTACATACCTTGTTATGTTGGTAACAATCACAATAACTATATTTATTGTCCGGGAAAAGGAAGTCAATCCGTTAACCATATATTCTTTGAGTTAAAACAATAAGACTTTCATAATACCATTTTTCAATTTAGAGCTTCATGTTCGATATACAGGGCGACAAAGTTTGAAATTTAAAACTGTTTTTTTTTTAATAATTCGAGTAATTGATAAGATATTAAGTTCAAATTCGGTACACTACTTCAACATAAATAGTTACATTTTTTGAGACCAACAAAACAAAAAACAATTGTCAAATAATCAAAATAGGGGGGTCCAGTACTCACTGACTCCCCCTATTTTTTAGTACGTGCGCCAATGACTTCCAAGCGGTATTTTTTCAGGTAATCATTTATTGTTGAAAATTTTTTGTCTCTTATAAAATTTTGATAAAATGATTTGTTTTAGAGATAATTTGTAAAGTATGGGTCAGTCCATATCAAATCAACCAAAGGTTCTTCCCCCACCATCTCCGATTTTGATAATTTTTGGTTAATTTGTTTACCTCACTAAAAAACTCAAAAATCCCATATATGAATTTTTTTCGATGGGTGGTTTTTGTTTTATTGATATTTGAAAATCAAAAAATTCCGATAAATTTGGGTAATTACAAAAATAGCGATATCTCGTAAACTATTAAAAGTAGAAAGGTGAGTGATGGCTTATTTTAAAGGCCTATTAGAGACCTTTTTTATGATATATCATACGACGTAAATTTTTTCAAAAAAAAATTAAATTTCAAAAATTTGATATGGATTGACCCATACTTTACAAATTATCTCTAAAACAAATCATTTTATCAAAATTTAATAGGAGACAAAAAATTTTCAACAATAAATGATTACCTGAAAAAATACCGTTTGGAAGTCATTGGCGCACTTACTAAAAAATAGGGGGAGTCAGTGAGTACTGGACCCCCCTATTTTGATTATTTGACAATTGTTTTTTGTTTTGTTGGTCTCAAAAAATGTAACTATTTATGTTGAAGTAGTGTACCGAATTTAAACTTAATATCTTATCAATTACTTGAATTATTAAAAAAAATCAGTTTTAAATTTCAAACTTTGTCGCCCTGTATATCGAACATGAAGCTCTAAATTGGAAAATGGTATTATGAAAGTCTTATTGTTTTAACTCAAAGAATATATGGTTAACGGATTGACCTCCTTTTCCCGGACACCCTGTATATCAAAAACTTTTCCAGGCGTATCATATGACGATACGAAAGACATTTCTGCCTTTCTTCCCTCATTCTATTTTTCCAATATAAGAAGTGAAATTTTAAAACTCAATAGGTGAAATAGCGCCTAATTTGAATTTAACATTTATATACCACAGGACCCTTACAGTGCTTTTGGAATGTGATTTTTCACAGAACTTTATTAACTCTGACAAATCTTCTGCCACTTCAGGACCTGGCTGTGATCTTAGCTTCATCAGGGATCTTTCAGCTCCACTCCTTTCGCTTCCACGATAAGTTGGCGAACCGAAGGAATTAAGTTATTTAGTTATTAAACAATTGTCATATTGTGTGCTTTTAAAACGTATTTTTTATAATATAAATAATAATTTTATATATATTTATATATAAATAATAATAAAAAAACATAACTAAGTAGGTATGTTTTTTAATATTATTTTTCTAAACTGCATGAGCATTCCTTTGCTCCGCCAACTTAATAATTGACAGACTGTAAATAATAAAATAGTACACTTAAATGACACATTTATTTATAAAAACTTAAAATAATATTTATGACAATATTTATTTATTTATTTAACAAATCTTGTATCTCTGATAGAGATTTCCCATTCGTTTCAAAAACACAATAATATACAAAAATACCGCCCAAAACTCCTGAACCAGCAAAAAATAGAAATGCAGGTCCTAAACCTAAAGAATCTTCTAGATATGGAAAAACTATAGTAATGAGAAATGAGGCACTGAAGTTAAGAGATGTTAGGAGACTAGAGGCAACAGATCTAACATTTGATGGAAATAGTTCACCCATTATGACCCATGATATTGGGTATACACCTATGCTGAAGAACGTCATGTATAAGATTAAACTTGTTACAGGTATCCAGGATATATATGACACATCAACGCCATTAGTTTGAAGGAAGAAAAACGTGCTTAGACCTGTAAGAGCCAGAAAAACACCTACTGAAGAAATAAGTAGCAGTACTTTTTTACCAGTTTTTTCCACTATTATAGATGTCAATAAACATGATAAAACTTTAATAATACTTACCAGAATTGAACCTAGATGAGATGGTATGGCACCACCTGCAGAGTCAAAAATAGTTTGCATGTAAGCTAGAATAGGTCCTATTCCTACTAATGGTGTTATTTGTAAAACTCCTAGTGAGATATAAAAGGCCTTCATCAAACCACGTGATGTAAAGACATCTTTTAAAGTACCTTTACACTGTGATTTTTCACAGAATCGCATCAATTCCGATAGCTCTTCTGCCACTTCAGACGCTGACTTTGATCTAAGCTTCATCAGGGATTTTTCAGCCCCACTCCTGTCACCTTTATTAGCTAGATACAAAGGACTTTCGGGGATGAACGTATATAAAACTATAACCAAACCAGCTGGAATGGCAAATATTAAACTAAACAACCTTATAGATAAATACGGTCCAAATAAATAGCAAAAAAGAACTCCCAATCCACTGAATATAGCTAGGGAAGAACTGATTCTCCCCCTGTTAGATTTCTCAGTTATTTCCCCAAAATACATGCTCACTATTTGTAGGGTACACCCTAGCGCCACACCCTGAATAAACCTGGCGACGTAAAAAATACATACATTCTGCGCAAAAGCCAGAGCCACAAATGAAATTACGTATGGTACTGCCACACAGAGTAGCGTCACTTTTCGACCGAATCTATCCGCAATTTTTCCTGTCACAAACGGACCAATGGCGGCCCCTATATTCGGTATGCCTGCTATGATCGAGCGTTCGTCGGTGGTGATCGGTCGTGATAGTGGATTGTCTGTACCAGTCAGTTTTGGAAACACCGGTGAAGTCCAGGATAGTGTGCTTCCAACTTCAAATAATAAAAAGTTTGCTAAAAATAAAAAATACTGATTTTAGCCAGTTGTATGAAGAACACATTGTTAAATGTTGGTATTTAATATTTGTAATCTTATTTTGGAATACAATGTACCAATACGTATTCGCTAGGGGTGTCAATCCCGAGCCCTTTTTCCAATCCCGGGCCTTTCGGGACCAAAGGTAACTAATCCCGGGATCCCGGGATCAGTCCCGAAAAAATATATATCATTAATTTTAAAACCAATTTAAAATAAAACAATAAACAAACTAACGAACGATCTTTCGGACTTCACACTAGTCGGAAGAATGGTTTTCAAGAATTCGTAGGCACATTGTACCCACGCGTATCAAGTTTGTGACATTTTTTCAGGTTTGACGTTTGAAATATGTTATATTATAGGTTATGTACATAAATTTATTCTACAGTGACCTGTAATTTTACATTTTCTTTGCTGATTTTATGCTATAGATGGAACCACTCTTGCTATGTTATTTCAATGTATTTTCATTATTGTACGGCGGTGTATAATAATTTGACTTAAACTGAGTAAAAAATGAATTGTTTATATATATGCTCATGAGTATTATAATATAAAAAATGCTTAAAAAAAAGTCTATTTTATTCTTTGTAACTTATTAGTAAGATCCCGGGATTGGGACTTTTAATCCCGGGATTTCCGGGATCGGATTTTTTACGGGATCCCGGGACCCCGGGATTTCGGGATCCCGGGATTGACACCCCTAGTATTCGCATATCAAATAAAATAAAGTTTGTATCCGAATACCATTTTGGTATACCCTTGTTAGAATTGTATTTTTTATTTGTTCACTATTTGCACGAAGATTGTATTCGTCAATAAAGTATACTCTTACAAATATCGGATACACAAAATGTATTCGATAACGGATGTGGATGCGGTATTCGAATACATAAGTACTAGAATACGACCCAGATTATTAAACAAAAATGAAATTTTAATTAACAATAAAGGAATAAAATGTACTTACCTATTAAAGCAACAAAATAAATGTAAAACCCCATGTTCTACTGATTTAAGTAAGTGCTGTTTATAAAATATTTGTTAAAAAATATTCAATATAATGTAGATAGTATCTACTACATACTCTTAAATTTTAAAGATAACAAATATTTAATTTATTATCTAGCCAGTAGTATAATTTAATTTTTTTTACATATAGATAAAAATTGCTAAATGTTTAACTTTAATTAGATATATGTTTTTTTTTCAAATGTTGTCCTATTAAATCTGTTAATCTGATAATCTGTCGCCTTATAGTAATAATCTAATGTCAGAACCACTGTGGTCAGAACAATAACTTGAACTATCACCTACACTTATCACGTACTAAAATAACCAAAATCTCACAAAAAACGATTTTCACCACAAATTATTGTTAACTTGTCAAATTTTACTAATGGCTGCCCAAAAGACAAAAACGAATCGCCGAAGTGTGTTTTTAAATGTGTTTATTTGTATGTAAAAACCGACTATAAGACGACATTAAAAGGGCTTTAAAGGTTCTACAATTGTTTATCTATATTTTTATTGGTGGGTAGAAAATTCGATTCATGTGGACTTGATGTATTTATAAGTATTACCACATATTATTATATCATACAAAAGATTACCTACATTGTAAGGTACACTATGTATTTTTGTAACCCGATTCCTTAAGTATACTGAAATACTTGTTTTGGCGTATTCGTGATCATCTAGTTAATTTACTTACTTTATAAAAATTAGAACTCTACGTTGTGTTTTTACGTACATTGATAATAAAGTTAATTTGAAATTGGTCATGATTAATATAACACAAGTATTTAATTTGTTAACCCCTGATTTAAATTAAAGCAAAGACAAAGGCGACTTACACAGTTCAAATAAAAATAAAATACAAAACAAAACATAGTCAAATGGGTCATAATCACAAGAATACTATATAAATAACAAGTGAATTAAATAACATGAAAAGCAGATAAACATACTTCATATAATTTGGGTATTTTTATCAATATTCAAAAGGGGCATGGAAAAATATAATCTAGTGCAGATATTTAACCGTAACCAATAACCACACTATGGAACAATAGCATACTCTGTGAAGTGATATAACTATAGTAGCCCCAGTGGCGGCTCGTGGGTGTACAGGAGGGTGAGGCTACATAAGGTTAATTTTGTCTAAATACGAATAAATTTCCACGTCACCCGGGAGGTATTATTCTCCGACGCGTTGACCTTTTTTAAAATGGAGCCGATAGCACTACTAAACCAAAAAATAAACTCTAAAAAACAAAACAAACAAAATATCACATCAAAGACTAGTTTTAATCTTAAACTTAAAAAATAGTCTTAAAAAAGTTAAAAATAAATAAATTTATCAAAAAATAAAAATAAAACTAAAAAGTCGACCCCTACCTAAGTATTAAAAAATATAAAATACTATACGTCTATCTTTTAAGATTGAAAATTTATCTATTATTTGGTCGTAAAATTGTTGGTCTGCAGTGAGATTTAAAAGTAATTCTAAATTTTCAAACCGCGTCTCTAATTGAAGAATTATGCAATCTATAATTTCAAAATATAAAATTTGCTTAATAAAAACTGCTAAATCTACCTTAGTGTGTTCCCTACAATAATTAAATAAGAAATTTTACTAATCGAGACAAAAACTATAAAAGATCAGCCAAAAGTTTTAAATAATTTAATCTGAATCAAAACAATAACGTGCTCTACAAACGCTAAGAGAAGACTGGCAACCTTCTTTGTCTCCGCTGGCATCCCACCATAAACGGACCACCAATCAGAACAAACCAAGCTAACTTAATTTCGCCTCATCTACGGTGTTTATTCGCGAACTTACGGCGATATTTTTGTTGGTGAGTCATTTTCGCTTTCAAGACGTAAATGGGAGCTTCCGAGGCTGTGAAAATTTCGCCTCTGTCCAAGCCAAGATACATACAACAAGCGACTCTCAACGATGCATGCACGTTAACTTGACGCGCTTTGCGCCTGGATTTTTATTTACGCTTAATATTATTGATTGGTTTTTTACTTTTTATTGGGTAGATTTGTTGTAAAAATACACTTGTAATAGGCAAAAATATAAATACAAAAAGTCGTTCGTTCCTTCATTTTAAGGGTGAGGCGCGGCCTCAGAGGCCTACCCTGACGAGCCGCCACTGAGTAGCCCTATATCACAATATGTTCAAATATTCTTACAAAATCAATGTCCAGAACAAGACAAAAGTATTGCGAAAATATACAAACAATTCTGCACACAGAGTTTATATAGGTAATAACATTAAAACGCTATTTTTCTTCTAAGTATAAATCATTTTGAAATAATGCCCATATTACCCATGTTCAAATATTCATGCATGAGCACTCACCAAACGAAAACACAAATAAAATAAACAATATGCAATAAAATAAAATGGTATAAAATATAAATAAAATACTATAAAATAATAAATAGGAGAGAGTCATAACAAGAAACACCTAAACATGGCCCAAACTCTAACCACCAAAAAGTGTCGCGCTGGATAATAATATAAAGAGATTTTTATCATATATAGTAACGTAAAAGTCATTATCAAATATTCCAAATAAAGCGCTAAGATATGCAGTTTAAATCAAAGTCTCTATCCAGAATCTATCAAAAGGCTAAACGGTACTATTACCTTACCATGATATGACCTAATGGTAATATCAAATTTAATAATAATAATACTAATAGCATGATAGCAATAATGATAATAATAATAATAATAGCATTTTATAAACCTTACCCAAGTAATAGAGATATTATAATAATAATATAATTGTTAAAAGCTTTAGCCTGAGTACAAATGCAAAGAGTTAAAATAAATAAATATATACTTTAATACTGAGATGATGCAGAGTTCCATAAACAATAAAATACATGTCAGTTAAATAAAATGTTATACAAAGTTATACAAAAGGAAACAACAAAACAAAGGCCAGTGTAACTCAAAATATTAAAGTTTAAGATAAATGTAATTCAGTGTATTTGATAAACGTGTATGCGCGATCCAAAGATATTAAACCCAAACAATGAAATAATCAGTGGCGGCTGGTGCTTGTTAAAACTGGGTAGGCCAGCTCAGTGGAGGGTCCACAGCTTGCTTGAGAGGGGGCAAGCGAGGAAAGCGGGTAAGAAGCCCCATTTTTTTGAAAATAAACGTGATCAACAGTTTTTAAGCATGCGACCACTCAGGCTTGGCCTATATCGCAAAGGTCCTTTTTATTCCTAATAGTAAAAGAAAAAGAAACTACTCTAATTTGTCAATTTAATATTTCATTTTCATGCAATTTGTACCCAAGAATAATAAGAATATTAAATATTAACCATATCAGAATTATTACTCATTACTTCCCTGATAATAATTTTAATTTTTCTGCTTGAGCCGAACAAAATTGACCTTAAACCTTAAAAACACAAACAAACCACCTACCACGATGCAGAGAGACAGCAATATTAAGTTTTTATACCCATCCATCAATTTTCGTCATACTTATCGCGGCATATCATCGCTCCATCTTTCAAAAAATTCAATTCAAATGTCTTGGATTGAATGATACGTACAGGCTTCAAGGTAAACGGCGAGCCGGACCTACTAAATGCTATTCATTTAAACCCTCAAAAAAATTCTTGTAAATTTACAACACATTTACTAGTTTAAACATGTACACTTTACAAATATTATAATGTGAAAATTAAATCACAAGTTAATTTATGAAAATATACACAGTTTTTTGTAAAATTAATAATTTTTGTGAATTTACAATGGAATATTAAGTTTTGTTATGTAAAAATACATTTCATTTTGTTATATTTACATTATTATTGTTTTAAATACATATCAATTTGTAATATTTGCATAATTTTTGTAATTTTACTATTCGCATGTAAAATTTCAAGTTTTATTGTAAATTCCAACCAATTACCGCGCGCCAAATCGTGATGCAGGGTTGCATCCGCTTCCAAAACGTCTTTAATGTCAACCATTGTGTTTAGTAGATGAACGTGTTTTTAATAAAAACTTTTTATGTGCACAGTTAGAATTTAGTTTTCTACAAGGTCTTTTACTATTGGTAAATACTTTAAACTTACGTGTCTAGATGCATAATTAATTCATAATTGTTTTAGACTATGTTAACCTGTAATATTTGCGAAATTAAATTATATTCTTTAAAAAAACATCACTCATCTTCAATTGCATAGAAATACACCAGGAGCAGCGTTTACGTGTCTATATCGGAACTGTAGATGTGTTCTTAAAAACTATAAACGTTTTAAAACTCACTTATATATTTATAGATAAATTTAAATAAAATATTATGTGCCTAAAAACAGTTTATTACTTCTTATTCATAATAATAACAATAATATTTAGTAATACAAAATGTAGTTTTTGCAGGTAAGTAAATATAAATCCATTATCGTTTTTTAAATTTTCTTAACAACTTCTTTTAAATAAATTATCCTGAAAAAATATTTTGTTATTTCCTTACTAATTAATATTAATTAAAGAGTATATTCATATGGCTAAAAACATAATGATAAATACGTCGTAGAACTACTTACCATAAAAAGAAAACACCGTCAATTGAACAATCCCAAGTTATTTTCATTTAGATATTCCTTGAACCACGGTTTCCATTAAAATGTAAAACAACATATAACATAAAAATTAATTTTGGTTTCCTATGAATTTAAATATAATTTTTAATTTTATAATTTTTGGTTGTTAAAATGATGTCTTCTTTTTAATGTTATAATATGTTGTAAATTAAAATTACATTGTAATTTTACTGAAGAAGGAATTTTACATTTTTAAGTATTAGTAAATTTACATTGAAGTCAGTAATTTTACATTATAATTTTATTTTAACCAGGAATTTTACATTGTAAATTTACAGGAAATCTAGTAATTTTACAATATGATTTTATTTGAACTAGGAATTTTACTTTGTAAATTTAATTACATGGGTGTAAAATTACAATGTAATTTTAATACTGTTTTGTAAAATTACTTTGTTGTTGCAAATTTTCTGGATTATCGATGGTCACCAGTCGCCAACAATAATCGTGGTAAATTTACATAATTTTTTTTTGAGTGCCTAT